CCCCCCCCCCAGCCCCCCTTGCAAGCTAGCTGTTGCATCGCTATGGAGATGTAGCCCTTTGTTGTAATTGGGCGCGGCAGATTGCCATCATTACCTGTCTGTGCCGCTGGGGCCATTCTGCGAGCTCCATTAAACTCTGCATTCACCCCCCCATCCTGTTGCGCCATTTGGGTGGGGGGGGGGGTCGCTGGTGAATTTCAATAAGCCCTAGAAGCCTTTGCAAGGTGTTCTGACATCAGGGCTCCAGCACACACGCCCCCCCCGCCTCCCCAGCCATCCCCCTCTTGCCTTTTCATCTGTCGATTGGGGGGAAAGAAAGGAGGGGGGTGCGTGGGGGGGCGGGGGGCAAACAAAAAGAGCCCCTTTAAGGGGGCGAGTGCTCAGACAGCCTGCATTAAGCTAGCTGTCGTCTCAAAAGGCCAGATGCTGCCTGCCGCTTTAAATAAAGTGAAAGGCGTTTGCCCCCCCCCCCCCCACCCCGCATTGCAGAATACGCTCCCTTCTTTTATTTGGAGTGCTACAGCGCCAGAGCCCTTCATCAGTGTTGTACATCTAGGGTGTCCACAGCTGCCCATACTGTGTTAAGATGGGGTGCAGGGCTTTGGGGCCCCGTACAGGTGGGCCCCCGGGGCCCCACGCCAGAGCTGGACACGCAGTGAGCCTCATTGCAGATCCTCTCCCTCTTTCAATCTTGCCAGGTCTTAGATGCTTGCTATGGTGTTTGGCTCTCAGCAGGTCTATGGATCATAACCTCGTCTTAGACCCTAAGAATGGTGCACTTAGGAGGTCTTTGAGTCTCAGCTGGTTCTTAACCCCTCACGAGGTCTCACGCCTCTCAGACGGTCCTTGGCCCTCAGCGAATCTTGGGCCCTCAGTAGGTCTCGGGCCCCTGTGTGTGGTGAGGTCAGCCTATTCCTCTGTGTGATGACTTTTATCCAGTCTATTCCATTTTAGCAAGAGCACATTGAAATGCACAGAAAGGAGCCTGACGCGTATCATAGGTGGTCTTCTGTGCGACTAGCAGACGGCCCTGACCGTCTGGTACATCAGTCAACGAATGGGTTATGGAAATGGCACATATGCAGTGCAACAAACGTTATTGAATGGGGGAAAAGACGGCGTGTTGGAAACTGCATGTTCGGGCAGATCAGACCATCACTGCAGTCAGCTGGTAGTGATTGTGTGGTCCTGACCTCAGGTCTGTCCTTAAGAAAGGTCAGGGGGTCAGGTCACAAGGTCATGCCTTTAACCAAACACTGACGGCCCAGTTGTACTGCATCTGTACTGCATCTGTATAACTGTCAGCTCCGGGTGAATGTAGATAACTTTGGTGATTTCTGGAAGCCAGTGGAATATCTGCGAGCGAGCTAACCCCCCACCATCTTGTTTCAGGTCGGGGAAAGGCATCGCGTCCTTGTCACCGAGGAGTCGTTCGACACCCATTACTATGTGGGCCACAACAAATTCTACGAGCAGGTAAGCAGTGTCCCAGGTAAGCAGCAGGGGGCGCTCTCCGTGATTGGCAGGGCACGTGACCTGCTGTTTGATCATCTACTTCTCTTAAAGTGCTGAGTGTAAAAACAGTGGCTTTTTACTTTGTGTATTTAGATGCATTGTGGCCCATCGGCTGGCTTTGATTGGTTGGACGTCGAGCTTGTGCTTGCTGGCTTTCCTGTCTGTCCTACACCTGTTTGCTTAAAGCGTCGTTTTTAACGAGGCATGTAGACGCATCACAGTCGTCTGTCCATCGCCCAATAAAGTTAATCTCTTCCTCTTTTATATTTTTTTTTATTACTTGCCAATATTTGGCTGGCCCCCAGTCACATTCCGGCATAAATCCCTCCGCACCGGGCTTCAAAGGAACCCCAGGAAAAAAACTCTGCTCTGAAATGTCTTCAAATAAATCAATTTCCTCCCCATAACAGTCATTGGGAAGATGATTGAAGTTCAGGATTTTTTTTCCCTGATAGGCAGAAATGGGTAGTAATTTTCTCCAGCGTGTCTCGGAGCTATGAACTCAGCTACAAGTGTCGTGTGGTTCTCTGAACATCAGGAAGTGGGGTCGGGGGGGGGGGGGGTGACACAGAGCCTAGTCAGTGATGTCTGTAGCATTTCATATCCAGTCTGCCGCGGTATGCCGCCCTTAATCACAGCCTGTCACCTGTGTGTGTGTCATGTAATCGTCTGCATCGCCGATCTTTAGCGGTCAACCCCTGTTAAAAAGAAAAAACTGATGGTTGGCTTTAAGAAAAAAAAACATCTTCTGGTGCTTTCCGGGGCGCATATGAGGGCAAAGGCTCTATTGAAGATCAGAACATGTTTCTTCAGGCCGTTCCAAGGATCAGGGCTTTCTGGTCTCTCTGCGATTCATCCCAGAGCTGTCACCCAGCGGGAAACGGCATTCTGGGAGCCCTTTTAATTCTACCTGCAGCTTAAAGGCATTTCTGCCATGCTGTGTGATGCATGCCTGCACAAACCCCCACCCCTCACCAATGACCCCCACGGTCCCCCAGCCCCCAAACCCCATAAATGAATCACTCTGGATTCTTCCTACAGGGTGAACCGATCAAATGTAAAACATCTCCCGTCTCTTTATGACCAGTGCTGAATGGCATTCGCAGTTTGGGAGCTTCTCCAGAATATTCCGCATTGTGCCCCTGTTAGGGTGGCTGTTTCCAAGGCGATGTGGGTGGAAGGAATCGTGACCCATTCGGAGGGATGTGCGAGTTAAGGGAGCCGGGCATGAGGTGATATATACTGACCCTCCAGCCCGTGTTGGGTTTTTATGGAACATGCTACATGCGCTGGGATTGAAGATCAGTGTTTGGGCTCCGACAAGAGCTTGAATGATCGAGCTGGAGTAACGTGGTAAATAACGGCCACTCGGACCCAAAATGCTAACGAATCCAGAAAGAAGCAGAGCTATCTTACGGCTGAAGATGCATCTCCTGGCCGCCGACAAGCAGGCCTGCCGCCGACACGCAGGCCTGCCGCAGAGATAGCGAGGAATCAGATAGCTGTGGGTCATTTACTGTTTCAGCAGCCACTGTAGGCTCAAGAGACTTTTTCATCCTGCGATTCCGATCACCTGCACTAAAACCCCGCAACCGCTAGAAGGTATATGGATGTTTGAATAAGCAGCTATTATGATATAAGTCTTCAAATCCCAGTGCAGGATTTGCCGGAGTCACCCGCAGAAGCCTTTCTGCTTGCTTAACAGCTATTTCCAGCAAGTCTCCAGCTAATAGAATGAGCTGACAGGACACAGAAATAATTTTAAAATGGAAATGCGAAGCCCTTCAAACCGTTTGGAGCTGCTGAATGGAATGGAGATCCAGCTCTTTAGCTGAGCATGGGTCAGTACTTCCTAGACAAGACCTTTAAGATGCTAGGTCAAGTGAGGTATGATTGTCCGGCTGAGGGAAAAAAAGATGCCCACAATGCACTTGTATTGTGTCTCATTTTGTGGCATGTCTGACAGCAATAAGGGCCCTGACCAGTGGAATATAGGTCTCATAAGTAAAGACAGAGAATCCCTTTCAGTCTCGCCTGACCAGTGCTACATGATGCCTCTTCTGGTAGCTTGAGCCAAGAGGTACAGAATGGCCACCAGTTAGCCTTACGAAGGTGTTATCAAAATCCTTGGTTCAGGCTGGGATTCGTATCATAGATTGAAAAACGAAAAAAAAAAAAAAATTCCTTAATTCACAAGGCATAATTAAAATTAGCCGTGGCGCAGAGAAAACACATATTTAATTTTGAGTTAATTGAAAAACTTAATTGGCATCCGCAGACATTTGATAAGTCGGATGGATTATCAGGCACATGAATATAAGAGCTCGACTTTCGTGTGTAAAGGACCCATTGTGTGCAAGTCTTTGATGAAGGCAATTTTGGTCTAAACTGTGTGTTTCTCAGTAGAGAGCCATTTAATCCAATCCGTGGTTCGCCCTCAGGTTGAATTTGCTTCACTGAATAGTGCCTTGAATAGATCTTAAGCATAAAAAGGAGTTTGTAATCTCACGGTACTGTCGAAAGATGTTTTAAAGACCTTGGTTTAAAGTGATGAGGCAAACCACCAGGTTTTCGGTTAGGAATGAGGGTAGGCCATGTGCCTCGGGGGTAATTTGTGGCTCACGGTAAATATGTCGTGATCGGCTTCGATGTTCCGTGCACTAGCACGGCAACATCGCACATCCTGGAGTGAGACGCAGCCGATCGATGCTTACCCACAGCTGTGGTGTCGGACAGCTGGTCATTTGACTTTCTGCCGTGACGCGGGGTGGGGGTGGTGGAGGGATGTGACCTTGCCGGCTAGGGGGGGTCTTGGCACTCAGTTGACTAGCTTTGCTAATTTGTCCCAGAAATCTCAGACTCAGCACCATTGATCTCCATTGACTTAAAGGCGCTCTCCTATCACTGCGGATGGCTGCAAATCAATGACGTTTTCCAGAGGCCATGGACCCGGAATACAGTCGAAACTTGCTCTTTAGCCCGTGTCTTATCGGGGAGGAACCTGAAGCTTTCCCATAGCCCTATCCATATTCCATCCTCTCTGCAGCTGTTTTTTCCCCAGAAGCACCAGGGTGCAGCGGCCCAGACCAGATCCTTGGCTGTGAGCCGGGCCGTTACTTTCATTCATGTAGTTCTTCCTGCTCGCCGTCTTCTGTTGAGGTTAGTGCTTTCGGTCTCCTGTGAAAGTCCCTCTGTAGCTCCCTTTCCCTTCTTGCTGTTGGCAGGTCCTGGTTCCGAAAATCCCGGAGTTTAAGGGTAAGATGATCGAGGTGGACATCTATGAGACCGGCAAACACTTCATGAAGGGCCAACCCGTCGAGGCCGGTGAGGTCTTCACCCCTTCCATCGCTCTACCTCTGAAGAAAGGGGAGGTCTCCGGGCTAACGCAGGTGAGCCCAATGCAATATTCTGGAAATTTTCCCGAAGGTCATCGAGAACATTGCACTAATAAACTATTCTTTCTGTGTTTCTTCAGTTGCAAAGTCATGTTAATTATGTTGCTGCAACATTTATCAGTGACACAGACGAAAGTCGGGTTGAGGTATCAGCTTCCTTTTCAGCTTTGACACACTGATATTCCTGCATCTCCAAACACCATTAAAATTTAACTGTCCATTCCATTAAAATTGAATCTTCTGCGTGTGCCTGTTTCTCCTCACCGGATGCAAGTCTGCTCCTGTTTTGCAGACTTTTTCAGAACCGAATCGATTATCTGGGCTGAGGGGCGGGGAGTGGGTCCTCCAAGGCCAGGCCAGGCCATGTTG